AATTATAATATTTTAACATTATAATATTTTTTTTATTATACATTTCTTATACAACATAAATATTTACAATAAATATATCTAAATACAAAATATAAATATATTAATATAATATAACAAAGATTAATATTATCAATATAATTAAATTTTTTTTATAATATAATTTTTTTTATAATAACAAGAAAGAAAAAAATAAAAACTAAACACATTTCATAATTTAAGGGATATTTTTACAATAAAATATTATTTTGACTTTCTTAATATCTCTAATATCTTCTAAAAAATATATATATTATTTTTTAAATTGATATTTTGATTTTCTATAGTATATATTTAATTGTATATAATTATTTATGTTTCAATAATATTCTTAATGAATTTTTTTTATTAAAAAGAAATAAATAAAATTAATCTTATAATTCCTTTTAGTTATTTTACATAAAGAAAATAAATCATAAATTAAACAAATGGCGAATTATAAAAATTATTGTATTTTTCATATTTTATGTATCATTGAAAAAAAAATAATTTTTTTTAATTAATTCTGATATATGTGGAAATTAAAATCTGTTTCTCATAACTTTAATTAAATAACAAAATTGTAATAACAAATGAAAAAAATAATGCTAATAAATAAAAAAAAAAATAAAATATAAAAAATTTAGTTCTTAATTTATTCTTACAAAACATGATAAAAAAAAATAAAATCAGAAATTTAAAATAAATATTTTATCTGTTTCTGTATATTTCTATGAATTTTTTAAAATTTTTTTTCTATCTTTTTTGTTTTTTTTTAAATTTCTTTTTAGATTTATTAATATTTTTAAAATTTTAATTCAATACTTATATTAACAGCTTATAATATCTAAGTATTTATTTTACACATAAATGATTGTAATTAAAATATCATAAATAAAATAAATAGGTATGTGTTTATTTAGATATATTTTTTATCTATCTTAATAAAATGAAACATTAATTTTATAAAATATTTTTAATAATCGTAGAACAAAAAATATAAAATCCATTACTTTGATTTCGGATATTCTTATATCTACTTTTATATATATTTTATTTGCATAAGTTCTTATCATAAGAGATAGATCACAGAAAAATTGCTATTTCATAAAAAATAAATTCATCGAATACAATTAAAATTTAAAAAAGAAAAATTTTTAAATTAAATGAAAAACACAATAATTCTAAAATACAATATAAAAAGTTCTGTAACTAACTGTAGATTTCATTAAAACTGATCATTATGGAATTGCAAGACACTTATGATATTAAATTTGCAGATAGTCACTGATAAAATTCATTATAACGAGTTAAAATGATTTTTCGATATCGTTAAATAATAATCAAAGAAACTTTTGATTGTTTGTATAGTGATCGACAAGATATTCTATAGGTTTTTGTCACATTTAATTATCTTTGACACCACGAACCACAAAATCATACAATTACTATTTATGATCCTTGTATGTGATAACGTACATTACGCTAGTTCTCATTCATGAAACATCTCATTCATATTCATTATCGCCAGTTTGCCATACAACGACAAATAATTACTTTCAAAGAGTACTTCACTTTTATGAATTAGAAAGACCGGCCATTCTTTTGATGCTTTTTAACGATGTTACTTTTTCTTGCATATCATAATAATGTAGATGAAAAAGATTACTTTTATTAACATATATTAATATTATATGTTAATGAAAAATTAACTTCTAATGTAAAGAACATACTTTCTTTTTTCTTTTATAATTTTTAATATTAAATATAATAATTTGATGACTTAATTTTTATTTTTAAAAATTTTTTTTCTTTTTATAATAAATGTATTATAAAAAGAAAAAAAATATATCTTTTAAAATAACTTTTTAAAAACTTTTTTAAACTAATGATTATTTATTTTTTAAATTTTCTTAAAAAGTTATAATTAATATATTATAACAATAATAATATATAATTATTTTAAAAAGAAACAAATTTATTAAACGATATATAAAAAAAATCTCCAAAAAATTGCAATTTATCTGCTAAAAACAAAAAAGATTGACTTATCAAGCGGCCAAGATAGTTTGAATTTATTTTCAATAATAGTGTTCAATAATAATTTTTAACAGTTTAGATTTTTAGCAATAATTTATATGCAGATATATTTTTTTTTATTTTTCCAGATCAACTCTCAATCATTCGAGACTAAGATAGATAAGACTATAATAATAACAATGATTATTTAAGTCATTCTTGCGCACCAAATGCTTTGCGATGAATCACTACAGAAATGGAATCAAAGATCCCTTCAGGCATACGCGAAAATTCAATTTGGAAATTATCATCCAATGAAACTATAAATTTTTTTATTTCCTTTTTGTTTATATTTTTGCCAAAGATACCTATTCGAATAAGACTCGCGACAATTTCTTCAGATAACTATAGAAATTTAGATATAGATTAGATTAGATTAGATAGATGTAGATTAGATCAATACTTAGAAAATCGAGTTCAGATTAAAAATCGCGAAATTCAATTAATCGTTAATCACAAATAGTTCATTCAAATTTATTACAATATAAACTTATATTTAGAATATAAACAATTGTAATTCTATAATTGTAGATGGTCCTTCGATAATATTCAATTCAAGCATCATCCTTTTCTGTACAATATTCAAAATCATTTAGTTAAACTTTAAGATTGTTACAAAGAAAATAATTATTTTTTACAGCTTGCTTATTTGAATCAGTAATCAAAGTAATAAAATTAAAAAAATATTCTGAATATTTATGTCAATTATATATATGCTGAAAATTTCATTCTATAATAAAATTTCAAAATTTGTAAATTTTAAACCAATTTGTAATTTTAAACCAAAAGTCATGAAAAATTATGATTTTCATTATTTTTTAACATTTGTAATTCATAGCAACATTATTATTAACTAATTTCGATGAAATATTTGTATAAGTGATATATCTAAAATACTAATTTTTAAAATACTATTTTTAATACTATTTTTTAAATTTTTATTAAGAATTTAAATAAAAAAAATAAAAATTGATTTTCAATTTTCTTTATAATTCTGATAAATTGTAATTTTTTCAAGATATATTTTACATATTATTTAGTAAATTAATCTAATTTCTAATTTCTCAAAAATCAATTTTTAAATCTAATTTTAAAAAAATCATTGTTTTTTAAACGATATAAATACTTTTTATTTTATGATAAAAAATATCATAATATATTAACTTTTTTATATGTTATCGTTAATTATAATTTTTATATAAAAATAATTTTTTAAAATTAATTTTTAAATTAATTTTAATAATTAAAGTAATTTTTAATTATTTACGAATTAATTAATTAATTATTTAATTAATTATAATTTTCAAATATTGTGTGATCTAATAAAGAATTTTTAGAATTATGATCTTTTATAAATAAAAAAAAATATTATAAAAATTGTAATAGTAAATACAATATTATAAATAAATACATTAAAATGCATTATTTTTGTCGCAATCTAAAAATTATCTCTCCATTATTGCAAAATATAAATACAAATAAATTCAAGTAAAGTATTAAAACAAATCAAAGAAATATATAATATAAGCAAAATTACTTGATTATGTGAAATATTTTATTTTTAATAATAATATAAAT